ACCTTTACCTTTTTAATAGTATAATATAAAATAGTTTAATGGGGCTTACTGCAGAAAGGTTTAAAAGAAACAATAATATTGTCACTGTAAAAAACAGATGCTTGGAATTTGGCTGAAATAACTTATTATTTTATTTGTTTGATTTTTATCATGTTCTTCTCTTCAGAAGAGTAGCTTGATAATAATTAATCAATTAGGTATAATTTTGCTTTCTCTGAGCTAGTCTTGCTTAGTTTTACTTTTATTTTAGAAACTATAGTCCTTTTTCTAGACTTCCTGCGTTTATCTTTTATTTTCTATCTAAACTTACTAGCCACTAACATGCCCATCTTATCATTTATTTTTGTGTAATTATCTATAATGTGCTATACTTCAGTATCCTGTAATGTTATCTTTATCTTTGAGAGTTGTCTAACTATAGTGGCTTAGAAATCAATCAGTGAAACAAAGAAATGAATATGTTATTGCATTGCAGCTTTTATACTTAATATTCTGTTGTCTGCTAAAGCAGCCAGATATTTGGGGGGATTGGAGGTTTCCACGCTATTTTAAAAATCACATAAACATAAGTGGACCTTGCAAAAGTCCAAAACATCTTTTCCAACTCATTTTTTAAATGTGAAGAGTCTTAAAAAAGGAATCACAAAGAATGTTCTTCCTGGGTCAACTCAGAAAGCTCAGATTGCGCAGTTCAACAGGGGAATTATTGAATCTGTCATTTGTACTTCTATATCTGTCTGATTTGGCATAACAATGAAACAGGACAGGTACAGACTTCAACAGAGAGTTAGGATTGCAGAAAAAACAACTGGCAATCATCCTGCCTTCCATTGAGGACATGTGTACTGCACAAGCCAGAAAGAAGGTTGTGAAAATATTTACAGACACACCACACACACCCATATAAACTGTTTCAACTCCTCCCCTCAGGACACCACTATAGGGCATTGCATGCCAAAAGAACTAGACACCAATATAGTTTTTCTCCCATGCCATCCCCGTGCTAAACACCTAATTCCCACAGCACTATCTTATGCCTAAAGATATTTACCGATGTTGTAGGGCTGTATTGCTATTATCCTTCTCCTCTTTCCTATCACCTTCTTCTGTTAGTATCTCATGATTTCTCACTTTGTTGTTTGTATCTTATGATTTATCACTTTATTATTTGTATGTACACTGGAAGCTTATGTTTGTATGTACACTGTATGTTTGTATGTAGACTGAGAACATATGCACCGGAAACAAATTCCTCATGTGACCAATAAAGAATTCTCATTTAAAAGCTCTCATTTAAAAACCAATTATAAGATGGTTTCATGAGTTAGTATAGTTTTTGTTTATATTATCATTTTTGAAGTACACTTCATAAAATATAGTGTATCTTTGATTTATTTGCAGTATACCATATACTGATTTTTCACTCTGGGAACAATAGAATAAAAAAGAATACGATTTAATATGAACTCACCTTATGAAATCTTCAGAGTCACTAGCTGGCATAAAAGGTTTGCCAATGAAAGACTATTATATTGATGCTGAAGAATAGAAAACAAGGGAGGAGAAATGCATCTGTTTTTTTAACCCACTAAATAAACTGAGAGCAGGGTTCTACTCTTTCAACTCTATTCACTTCAGGTCAGGAGAGGTTGCAAGTTATGCCTTCCTTCCCATTGGAAGGAAGCGTTTCCTGGTACTAAAGAAGAAAGTAGATTCTTGGAAGAACAAATATTAAGATAAATTTATTTGTGTTACACAAGAGTGCATTATCAGGAATCTTTCAGCACAGTACTTATCTGTAGGTAATTGCTAGTGTGTACTAGGAACTTGCTGGTATGTTATTAGGAATAATGGAGGAAAGACAGATATATTTGCAAAGTGATTCTTATGGTAGTTCTTACAAAAAGTCTTCTAAGCATATTATAAAGTTTTATTGTTTGATATCTCATTTATTTTTAGTAAATATTGCTCTGGTTTAATTCTCAAAAAAATTCAGTGTACTAGTTGTTTGTGGTAAACTTGTGGTAAAACATCAGAAAAATCATTATATTCTGAGTGCAAGCAGCCAATAGAAATCACATAAAATTTGTTTTTCTTGACTGGTTTGTAACCTTTTCAATTAAACTGTTTAGAATTTGAATTTCTGGAAAACTGGATTTTTCCACTTTAAAACAGTACTATTGTAAAGTATCTGAAAAGTATTGTTGCTTGTTGTGGGACTTTAGAAACAAAACTCATTTTTATTGGGGGAAGAACTTAATGGAGAAAAAGCATGTATAATTTTGACAAAAGAGGGCAAAATATTATTTAAAAAATATTTTGGTATTTATTTCATGCCCCCAATCATTTTGCCTCATGCAAAATCATTATATTATTAGTGATGAATAATTGTTCTTTTAAATTGCTTGTTTGTCACATTAAAATCAACAACAGCACTTTCTATCATATTTGGAATAGCCAGGTTTAATAATAGGGTTTATTAGTCTAATCTTTCCATTATTCCACCTTTTGCACTACATATTTAGCATAATGTATGATCAGTGAGCTAAATGCACTATATATATTAAGGAAATGAAATAGCTTCAACAATGTCTTGTGTTCACTACTCTCTTTTCTCTTCTCAGAATAATTGAACTTTTGTGAGTAGAAAACTATTTTTTTTTTGCAAGTAGGTGATAAAGTATGCATATTGTAACAACAATTTTATCAGATTAATTTAATATCAAGGAATCAATTGATATTGTGAGCACAATTTAAATCTATTAAATTTTTATTAATAAAGTAAAATGAGATTGAGGAGTGTTTTTTAACCAGTTTGGTTTTCCCCCCCTTAAAAGTACTTTTTTAGTTGCCACACACTGATGTGATCATTATCTGTCACCTCATCATCTTGCTGCCTCAGTATACAGTAAAATAAAATAAAAAAGGCCAGAGAAGCTTGTGAAGTATGACTTTCTATCCCAAGACTCATTCCCTGTGATTCGTATCGCTTGACAGTAATGATCTTATTACAGTACTCTGGACCTTGAAGAGATTTCATGAGGAGAGTGAAAGGATGTGCCTCCGTGTAATCAAGTGGCGCTGAATATTCCACGGGTTTTTGATCACATACTGATTGGGCACAGTTTTAGCCCATCTTCTAGTCAATTATGCATGGCCCCTTGTGCTCTTGTGATAGTCAGAAACATTGATAGCAGTTGTCTGGTTTTGGCAGCTAGCCAGCAGCTTGAAGTGTCTTACGCATAGTCATTCCAGGATAAGTGCTTTTTAGTTGGAATTGATTATCTTCCTTTAGATTTTGCTTAATAGCCAAACTGCTTTGTAAAGGGCTTCAGGTAAAAAAATGGACGTATTAGTCATTTAAAGTATCTAAACTCCTAGTCATTTTTTGAACCTTTCCTTGTTTCTACCT